TGGAGGAAGGTAGAATCTCCACTGAGTAGTATCCAATCTGTCTAGACAGGACTGATGAAAGGAGATGCAGATGAGTCTCTTGTGATGCAATGGTGAATAATTGTTAACAGGACTAATTGTGAGGGTTGTAAATGTAGACATTTTGTAGCAAGGAGGGGAGTGATTAACTCTGCAGTCTAGGAGCAGGGGTCCCTGGGACCGTGAAAGAAGAGCAGGGCCCTACCCAGAGCAGTGATCCCTGAGATGGAAGCAGAGACGATGACATGTAGAGATGGAGCAGCTGGGGACTCTAGACCCAGAGAGGGAGAGGGGCTGTGTGCTGATGACGGAGGGTGGGGGTGTGTGTGTGTGCAGGCTTGTAGGATGTTCCTTTTGGTTGGCTGATGATGCATGGAGGGGATTGGAACTATGGCAATGAAGCGATAAATGATAGGATGAATGTAAAACTAATGTTCTCCCGTGTAAACTATCACATTGTTCACAATAAAACATTTAAAAAATTAAAGGGATGGACTGAGAAGCTGAGGGCTGCACAGCAGTGAGTGCTGCTGTTTTTAGTCAGGAGCCTTCCTGATTTTGCAGAAACCTTACTGTTGTCTAGAGAGGCTCTGTGTAGAACTGGCAAAGATGGAATTGCTGATTTGTGATCAGGGAAGTCTTTGATGTTTCTTTTTGAAACATTTTTTTCAATTTTTCCTTCTAATACTTCTATGTATAAAATTATTAACCCCTGCTTTGTGCTGGACACTCTAGTATTAACAACAACCTTGTGATGTGTTCACTGAGTCTCACTTTTCTGATGAAAGAAGATGGTGGGTCGGGAAGGTCATGGTGCTGATTAATGGATTGATTCAGTTTAGACTTGTCGACTCTGAAGAGAACCTTTTACATCTTTGTTCAAAATGACCATAGAATACACTCATCTTGTCTTTGTTATATTCTGTCATACCTTGTTTTATTGTGCTTCACACACAATGTGGTGGGCTTTGTTTTTGTGTTTAACAAATTGAAAGTTTGTGACAACCCTGAGTCGAGCAAGTTTGTCACCTCCATTTTTCTAACGTCAGGTGCTCGCATTGTGTGTCTGTCACATTTTGGTTAGTCTCACAATATTCTCTCAACTATTTCATATTGGTACTCTACACTTAATAACTTATATACACTGGGAAACCAAAAAACTTGTGTGCCTTGCTTTATTGTGATACTTGTTTTATAGAGGTAATCTGAAACTGAATCTACAGTTTGTCCATGTGTGCCTATATATTTTTTTAGTCAGTTGGCTTATTGATATCTGTGAACTAGGAGAAATAACAGGCCCAGAAATTGCCTAAGGACATGGACTATTTTCTTGTATATGTAGATCTTTGTATATCTGTTTTTGAAAAAATAGAAAGTTGAGTATATATATGTGTGTGTATGAAACTGGATGCTTTAAAAAAGAAAAAGGTCCAATCAAGACATTGGTTTCTAGGTGATCTGCAGGACCAACTAAATTCAAGGCAGAGAGGCAAGGTCAGAAGGTTATGGTGACTGTTGTTGGAATTCCAAAGGTTTATTTATATTTTTACGTTTTTATTGTGAGTTATGTGATAGGATGTTTACATTTATCCTATCTTATTTTGTTTCATTGTAATGATTACAATCTCCTGCATGCATCATCAAACAACCAAAGGGTACACCCCGCATGCCTGCCCCCCAGCCATCAGCACACAGCCCCTCTCCCTCCCTGGGTTTAAAGTCTCCAGCTGCTCCATCTCTCCACATCATCATCATCGTCTCTGCCTCCATCTCTGGTGTCACTGCTTCTCTGGATAGGGTCCCGCACTTCGTTTTTTCTCCCTTGATAGTTCCAGGGACCTCCGCTCCTGGACTGCAAAATCAACCCCACCCCTCCTTTTATTACAAAGTGTTTACCTTTACATTTCCAACACTCACAGTCAGTCCTGATAGCAGTCATTCACTATTGAACCTCAAGAGTCTTATCCTCATCTCCTTTCATCAGCCCCATCCAGACAGGTTGGAAACCACTCAGCGGAGATTCTACCTTCCCCCACATCCTCTGGAACTAGGGTCCCTATTGAAAGCTTATAAGCCAGTCACTTCTTGCCTTAGTAGCCCCCGCCCCCACTTTGGGTAGCCACACAGGTTTATTTTTGAAAAAGTTTTAAGAAAACTACATTAGTGAGAAGAAGGCCACCCCAGTGAAACTAAGGACTCCTGGTGTGGCGCTGTAGGATTAGCTGCTAACCACAAGATCAGTGGTTCAAACCCACCAGCTGGTCCTTAGAAACCTTATACAGGGTTACTATGAGTCAGAAACAACTCCACGGCAATTAGCACAGCAAAACTAAGATAACTGTATTACTGAGAGAACTTATCTATAGTCATCTACTGATGAAGTGGACAGCAGCAGCAGACAAGTTCTCTCAGTAATACAGCAGAGACTTGTTTAACACCTTTTTTGGAGTAAATCCATGCATGTTTTACCTGGAAGCCTTGAAACAGTACTTTTTATTTACCCTGTACATTTAAAAACCATGAAAACAGCATTTTATAATTATTTTTCTTTTCTCTCATAGATCTCAGACAAGTATGATGTCCCCCATGACAAGATTGGGAAGATATTCAAGAAATGTAAAAAGGGGTGAGTATCGAATGACGTAATGCCGCTAAAGAACATTATGTCACCAAGGTTTCGAATCAGTTCATCCTGGTTCATTCAGGGCTGAGGAAGTGACATGGAAACAGACCTGAAGTTTTAAAATTTAGGTTAACTGGGATGTTAATATGAATGGGGAAAACTAGAGGTCATAGTCCTGCTTGAAACTTTATCTCTCTTTATGTACTACTTAATAATCAAATATCTTGGCTGACAGAGTGGAAAACAGCAGAGCCTGACTCAAAGATTGTAGTCAACTGCACCACTGCAAATATTTGCTACTCTCTGCAGTTTCACTAATAGTCCAGTCTCCTGCATCAGGCCCCTGAAGGGCCTCCTCTGAGAACTTTACCATACATCTGTTTATAGCATGGATGTAGGCCACACGCTCAAGGAAATTCCTCCTCCAACTGATTCGCTGTAATATCTGACAAACCATGGAGAATCATAACCTAGCCAAGTCGACATATAACCATCATAGTCTACCCGTTGTCAATTTGACAGCTATACATATCTCTTTAAACCATACATAGTTTCTAAGTCAGGAGTGGGGAACCTTTTTTCTGCCAAAATTTTATAACATCATTAGTGGGCCATACAAAATTTTCAGCTTAAAAATTAGCCTGCTGTATTTGGTCAGACGTTTAACTCACCCCTGCAGCACTTAACAACAACAATGCTACGGTTGATGTGGCACTGTGAGATAATGCACTGGAGCCCAAGGTTGGTTTGAAATGCAAGGTTAGGGGTTCAAATTCACCATCCACTCCTTGGAAACTCTATACAGGGTCGCTATGAGTCAGGACCAACTCAGTGGCACTTAACAACAACAGTATGATGGTTAGAGTCTTGGATAGCTTGACCATAAAGTCAGTTCAAACCGCAATGCCAGTGGTTCAAACTCAGCTGCTCCTCAGAAACTATTCAGGGTCACTATGAGTTGGAACCGACTTGGTGGCTCTTAACAACAACAATAATGTAATGGCTGGAACTGCAGTTACCTTGGCAGGGCCAGACCAAATTTAGAGCAGGGCCACCCCCGCTCTAAATAAAGACAAAAAGTTAAATTGAAATCTCTCAGCATACTGATGCAATATTGGAGGCGCTCTCTCATCTATGCTAAGACATTTGTAAGACAGCTACCTGTCCAGTTGATTGAAAGAGATCCATATTTATGCCAGTTCCGAAGAAAGGGGAGCCAATGATTGCAAATACAATTGAACAATATTGCTGATATCACATGCAAATAAAATTTTGCTGAAAATAATTAAGATACATTTAGAGCAATATATCTACAAAGAACTGTCAGAAATTTAATCCAGATTCAGAAGAGGATGTAGAACTAGGGATATCATTGCTGACATCAGATGGATCTATGTTGAAAGAAACTACCAAGAAGATGTTTACTTGTTCTTTTTTGACTGTGCAAGGGCATTCTACTGCGTGGATCATAACAAACTATGGCTAACATTGCAAAGAGTGGACATTTCAGAACACTGCATTGTGTTCATGAGGAACCTGTACGTAGACCAAGAGGCACTCGTTAGAACAAACAGGTTAATACTAACTGGTTTAAAATCAGGAAAGCTGTATGCCAGGGTTGTATCTTTTCACCATACTTAGTCTGTATGCTGAGCAAATAATCCAGTTGCTGCATTATCTGAACAAGAATGTGGCGTCAGTATTGGAGAAAGACTCATCAATAACCTATGATATACAGATAATACAACTTTACTTGCTGGATGCAAAGAGGACTTAAAATGCCTACTGATGAAGATCAAAGACTACAGGCTTCAGTATGGATTACATCTCAATGTAAAGGAAACAGAATTCCTCACCACTGGCCCAATAAATAATGTTACGATAAACAGAAAAGATTGAAGTTGTCAAAGAGTTTGTTTTGCTAGTTTCGTTTTGCTTGGATCTACAATCAACCCTCATGGAAGCAGCTTTTAAGAAATCAAATGACATATTGCATTAATCAAATCTGCTGCAAACAACGTCCTTAAAATGTTCAAAAGCAAAGACGTCAGTTTAAGGACTTTGGTGCCTGCCCCAAGCCATGGCATTTTCAGTCATGAAAGCTGAACAATGAATAAAGAAGAAATGAAAGAATCAAAGCATTTAAATTATGTTGCTGGCAAAGAATATTGAAAGTACCATAGATTGCCAAAAGAACAAACAAATATGCCTTGAAACAAATGCAGCCAGAATGTTTCTTAGAAACCAGGATGGCGAGGCTTCATTTCTTCTACTTCAGACATGTTATCTATCAGGAGGGACCAGTCCCTGGAGAAAGACATTATGCTTGGTAAAGTGGAGGGTCAACAAAAAAGAGGACGACCCCCAACGAGATGGATTGACACAGTGGTGTAGCAGTGAGCTCAAATGTAACAATTGTGAAGATGGAACAGGCCGGGGCAGTATTTTGATCTGTTGTGCATAGGGTCACTATGGATTGGAACTGACTGATTGACACCTGACAGCAACAACAACCAAGAGGCATAGTTGTGCCTGTCAAGGTAACAACTAACAGTTAGAACTGAAAACACACTATTCCCATTTACATTATGTATTTCATAATAAGTAATGGTGTAAGGGGAAGAAAACAAAGATATTTACTATATATACATATCTCTGTATTCCCACATATAACAAAACAAGGAAGAAATACTCATAACAAGTACAGTCCTCTTTTCTGAAACTGATCATATAGTTGTAGCTAGTATTTAGAACTATTTTCTTCCAGCACACATTCTGTATTCCCTGTTATACATGCTTTACTTGATTCCCTCATTTAATTTTCACTTCAGCCTTATGAGATAAGCACTATTATCACCCCATTTTATAGATGAGCAACTTGAGGCTTAGGGACGTTTAAATAATTTGTGTTGTGTTATGGTTAATAAGTGCTAGAACTGTTATTAAATCTGGGTCTGACTCCATAGCCTATAGGAGTTAAGCAAACTTGTCTTTGTTGCTCTTTATTCAGGATACTGGTGAACATGGATGACAACATCGTGAAGCATTATTCCAATGAAGATACCTTCCAGTTGCAGATTGAAGAAGCAGGAGGGTCATACAAACTCACCCTGACTGAGATCTAAAGGCTGACCTGCTCCACCACTCACAGTGGATTTAACTGAAGGTGTTCAGTAAATCTCATTGTTTGGCAAGCTACACCAGTCAGCCACCTTCCAAACAGATGGCTGTCAGTGGAAGGGATTCCTTTTGAGTTGGAGATGGTGCAGCATCTGGTATTTAATATGTTATATTATTGCATTGGAATTTTTCAGATAACAGAGAAATCTGTATTATCATTATGTTTAAGTTTTTTAATATAGATATTTAAGAATGAAAGAAAACTTTGTTACAATATTTAATAGACTCTCTGAGAAAAAGACTCTGTGTTGTGTCTCTTTTAAGATCAGTGGACCTGCTCACTAATGGAAGTCAGAAAAAAGCAATAGGCTTGGTGTTAAGGATTCTGTGCTATAAGCCTGACTGCCTCAGGTTAGTGGGAGTTACATCTCAAGAGTAAAAGGATGTACCCTTTTCTCCCTTAGCCTTTCATCCTCCAATAAATGTTTACTAAAATAGGGCATATTGCAGAACTCTTCCCTTTGCAACTTTCTTGGACATATCAACTGCCTTTCTTATGAAGAACTTAAATGAGTTACAGTATGAAATCAGTTAAGATAAAGCTGCATTGTATATAAGTGCAATATATTTTTGAAGGTCTGTCTGTAAATGTGTACATATATGTCTTATATAAATATATAATATATAAATATGGTGTCTGTGTACATATGATAAAAATATGCAATAAGACCTACCTTAAACACTTTCCCGCAACTGAAGGCTAAGTTATGTTTGATAGTGTACACCATACAGATAGTATATTGTGTCTAGTGGAACTCACTAGAGTGCTTTTTCTCTGTTTTCCCAAGTACAATCACTCACTCCATTGCATAGCAAAACCTTCTCAAATGACTGAGGTCCTTTTTGCTGTTGAGAATGTTAGTATTTGGATTTCTGTTCTGTTTACCATATGAAGTAAGGGAAAAATACTACTGCTATAACTGATATGTATTGTGTGTGCTTGTATCAGTCAGATATATATACCACTATAGCGTGAACAAACACGATGAACATACTGTAATTAATGTATACCAAGGGATACAACTCAAAACAGAGTTCTTCCTAATCTTCCTGTTGTATGATTTTTATTTTATCTAATGTTTCAGAGCCTTCATGCTTTGATTATCTTACATGTTGACAATTCTAGGACATATTCATGAATTTAGGAGAATATATTACTATGGCAGGGGAACATTTTGTACACATGTTTAAATATATTAAAATAAAATCACGGGTATCTTTAGGTTCAGGGAACTAGAGTAGGTCATTTCTATATGTGGGGCTGACAGTTACATTCTTATGTTAAAATACTCTAATGAAGTATGTGAACTAAATTGCTGGTTTTCTAATATATCATGGGACACGGGTCGTATAACAATATTTTATATTTTGTTTTATGAAATTGATTTTGTTTTGTGTATTGTTTTTAATTGTGTCATTGAAGATGTATTTTAAACCAAAGGAATTAAATTTTATATGTCTATTTTGTAATATGTCTTTCTCCTCTTACTCGATTTGACTTTATCCTTGCATTAGTCAGTAAAGCAGAATTGCGACTCAAATTTAGAGTTGAAAAGAATCTTCTTAGCACCTTCTCCATATTTCCCAACATGTGTATGTCAGTCTCTTCCTTCAGGTTAATTTTTTTTTTTAGAGTTGTTTAAAATAATCCAAAATAAACAAACAAGCCCACTGCCCTCAAGTCGATTTGGACACATAGCAACCGTACAGGACAGAGAAGCGCTGCTCCCTGGAGGTTCTAAAGCTGTAAATCTGTGTGGAGACAGACTGCCTCATTTCTGTCCCTGGGCTTCCTAGTTACATATAGCTGCCGAAGCTGAGGGTGGTGTCAATTGTTGTTAAATGCCATTGTGAGGTCCCAACTCCTAATGACCCTATATAGGGTTTCTAAGGAGCAGCTGGTGAGTTTGAACCACCAGTTTTGTTGTTAGCAGTCCAGTGCTTCTCCTGTTAGCACCGCACCAAAACTCTAAAGATGAAGGTAAAGCTTTCAAAACTAAAACATTAAGTGTTTTTACTTTTTACAAGCTTTGCAGACAGCAATGTTTTGTTTAAAATCTACCAATAATGTCCTGAATTTATCAAAAAACTTAAAATTGAACAGCTGTCCTAAGCATACTCAGGTAAACTAGGGCCTACTTGGGATAGACACTGAAATTCATTTTTAATGAATGCATGATGAAATGAATAAAATTAGCTCCCTGGCCTCTCTGCATCTTCTACTCTAATCCTTGGGCCAAAAGTCAGGAATCCTTCCCAGCAGACTCAGTCCTTGGCTGTCAGTGTTTGCTGAGTCTCACTTAACATTGGAAGTCCTGTGGGATCTGGATCATGTATTCTATTTGAACCCTTTCTTTTATGACTTTTCTACACTTGGATTTTTACTAAGGCTGCTTGGAACTACTTGCTGTATCCTTGCCATTCCACATACTGCTCTTATTTTCTCCCTAGCTTTTATTGCAGCCTCACAACTGGACTTTCCCTTTGAGTTGACCAGCTTTCTCCGACCTCCCCAGTGGATCATCCCAGGTCTCCTTAGTGCACAATGAAGTCTCTCTCCTAGCGCTCACTTCTTTCTTGTAGCTGAAAACTTGCCAGGTGTCCTCACAACCTCTGATTTCCCTGAGACCAGGTTTGATGTTGTAGTTAACTTTGAATGTCTGACATTGAACCCAATGCTAGTTACATAGCATAATATAACAACTATATGACAAGTGACTGCATGCTCCAAATAACCCTGGATCTTGTAAGATTCAGCAAAAAGATGTTTTAGAAATTTACTAAACTCTGGCATTAGTCTGGGCTGGACTCAGACCTGTTCTGACCACCAAGTCGGGTCAGTAGGATACGGGTTGTCTTTCAACAGGCAATCAATAAAGTAGAATTCTCTGTCAGACGGCTAAAAAGCAAGAGAAGATATTATTCAGAAGGAATAGTAGGAAAAGGTTGAATGAATACCTGAAAGCATGAGACTAGGTGATCTTAACTTAGGGAACACTTTACAAAGTGCTCTCACATTTCATTATTTTAATTTATTCGTTTGCCCTTGTAAGGAAGCATAATTTTTTTCCTCATTGGCTATAAAACGTTTTTTATTGTGATATGAGTGAAAGCTTGTAGAGCATATTGGTTTTGCAGTCAACATTCGTATGTACACTTCGCTTCATGACATTGATTTCAGTCCCCACAATGTAACAGCAGCACCTGTCCCACTTCCTCCCTGTTTCCCATTGCTATTTGTCCTTTTCTGTCCCTTCCTGCCTTCTGAACCTTATCCCTAGGCATATGTTGCCCTTTTGATCTTGTATGATTGCTCTAAGGAGTGCATACATGCCTGGTGTTACTGTTCACCGAGTAGGCATATCATTTGTCTGAAGGTACAGCCACTGTGGGTATGAGTGTGGGTCTAGTTTTATCTCAATTTAGGTCACACAGTTGGTAAGGGATGTAGCCAGGCTTCAGACCTAGGTATTCTGACTACTAACTCATGCAATGCTCCTTCTAAGCCCAACAGGGGTCACCATTGGTATATGGAATAACAATAATAGCTGCATGCTTATTTATTCTCATTTGTTTCTAATATCTTAAAACGTACACACTTCTATGTTTTTGAACCCCTTTAGCTATCATCACCTTCAAATCGTTTAACCAAACTTTTGTTATAAATATAACACATGGTAAGACATTAAAAAGGCATTAATATGAATCTTAAAATCCCATGAGATTTCTAAGAGGAATAAAAGTTTTAGACATGAAAATCCCTTGTGAAGGAGCCCAGGTGGTTAAAGCTCTCAACTGCTAATAGAAGGGGTGTTTCAAGCCCACCAGTTATCTTCCCAGGAGAAAGATATTGCAGTCTGCTTCTGTAAAGATTGAAACCTTGGAAACCTTGTGTGGCAGTTCTATTCGGTCCTAGAGAGTTGCTGAGTTAGAATCAACGTCAACTTGTACTTCTCAATCCCACTTTCCAAAAGTACCCTGGATTGTCTTCATGCAAGGTGGCGGACTAGGCAGACACACTACCCAGACCCTTTACAACAAAGATACGAGAAGCCAATGAAACAGACACAGGTAAAAATCCTGGAACCCTGAACTTCAGAGGAAAGGTTAGAGAAGTGGATTGAGTGCTTGCTGTGGGGAGAAACTGAGCAGGGAAGATGAGAGCGGGAGACTGGTAAATGGCCAGATGCAGCATGATCACTTGAGCATTTGTGAGCAGCTTTGGCAACAAAAGGTGGCCTGGCAAAGGAGATTGATAACAGGTAAAGGGAAAGATGCAATAATGAGAGGTGTGGCCAGCTCCCACCTTCATCTACCCCCAGTATAGATCCTGCTCTCCGGGAGTTCAGAGCCACATGGCTGTCATCCCCATCAGTGTGAGGGTGGGGTCTGGCTGGCCACTTTGGTGACTGAATTCAGGTGAGTTTGGCTTCAGGCCTACAGAGCCACCAGACCGGCATTAGTTTAGCAGAAACCTTCATAACCAGCCACCCTGCCCCCAACTGCCTTGTGGTCCTAACACATTGAAACCAGGGCCTCCAAGAACTACTTCCAGATTGAGTACCCTGAGCATAGCTAACAGGTCTATAGGAACTCCATCCAGGGCCAGGAACTCTACTGTCACATCCCGCCCACACTCACCCTTCTAAACTCCTTGGCTAGCAAGAATCCCATGGAGTTCTCTCCAAGTCCAACAGCTGTACTGGTTTTTTCGGTTTGTGTTTTGGTTTTTCTCTTTTGTTCTTTCATTGTGTTTGTTTATTTTTTCTTCTCTTTCCATTCCCTTGAATTTTATCCTTTGAATCATTGCTTTTATTTTCCCTTTTTCTGTTTCTTATTTCCCTTCATCTTCTTTCTTTCTTTACTATGTTCTATTCTCGTTCTTTCATCTTCCTTCCCTGGTATTCTAAGTTTTGGGGTTGTTTTTTTTTTTCCTTCCTTTCATTTTTTCTCATTTTTCTTGTCTATAGATCCATTTTCCTGTCCCTCTTTTCTCTTTTTAATTACCTTATTTTATTTTATTTTTTCTTTTCTGGTTGCTGTCTGTTCATATTTTCTTTCTCCTT